TTTTTTTTGATGACATGCTCACAATGACATACCAAACTCACCACCGTTGTGTTTACATGCAGCCCTTTGCTCTAAAACCATGTAAAACTAAAACCTATTCAACAGCCATTACTTTATATTGTGACGGAATTGAGCCAAGTATATTTGCAGCTTAAACACATCTAGCGCTGATTTTCACACAGGCCGGAATTATTAATTATGACAGGCAATAAAATGCAAAGAAAAGCATGTAGGTTATATAAACATGCCTGCTGCTGTAGAAGCCAAGATGGCTACAGCTGCCGTAGCTGTTCCAGCAGCCATCGTAGCTACAAGATGGCCACTGTGACTATTACTATTTTACTTGCAATCTTCTGTCACAAAATAAGCATAAGCATAAACTTTATTGCCAAGTATTTCAAGAACAGAATTGGACTCAATGCCCTCACAAAGGAATTGGACTGAATGCCCCCACAATGTGCACAACATAAAAACTAAATAAATACATAATATGTACAGTACACTACAATAACTTTAGTGTGTCTAACCTTCGTAAAATATACTAACGTTAATGCTATGAAGCTCCATAATTTGGTTCACACATGAACACAGGGATCACTCATTATTATAACGTTTATTAGTTATAGACAGACCCAGTATTATTAGCCATGTACCTGGCAGCAGCGATAAACAGTGATCATGTCACGATCACAATGTAAACACAAACTGTAATGATAGCATGCCACCGTATTTATAATGTTGGTTATTTCACTGAGCGACCTTCTGTCTAAAAGTACAATACAGTGACAACGTTAGCGCGTCTAACCTTCGTCAAATATACTATCTTAATACATAATGAAAACACAGAATGAAAGAACAGTGTAGCCTACTGTAGGGTATGGTTCTTCTTACCATTGCTAACTCTGAGAGACGAGACAGTCCAAGTAACTTCAAAACAGTGCTGATTTATTCAAAGGATCACAGGTAAAATTAACATTACACGCTCAGGTATCTTGCACCTCCAAACTGCACGCAGGCAGATGTAAGATGAAAGACCCTGAACCCACCAGGCCTATACATTATATCCCCTCGGTTGGGCTAGCCCCATACTACACAGAAACGTCAACCGAGACGTCTCTGTTACCAGCTTTGCAGCTGGTCATAGCAGTAGTCAAAACATGAAGCAAATCAATGTGTGTGTGTATGTGTGTTCTGTTGATTAAGTGGTGTGTAGCTAAAAACATTCTCACGACTTCTAGTAACATGTCATGATATTAAACATAAGAACATATTATGGCTAAGACTACAGTTATACACGTCATAATAATAATAATATTAAACACCCTGTCTG